CTATTTTCCATCCGAGTTGAAATGAAACTGAACGCAGAAAAAACACAAAACAATAGAGTAACGTCTTCCAATGACGTGCACAACCTTTCCACACCGAATAATCATAATTATTAAAGAACAAATTCATGTTTTTTTCTTCTAATTTCATTTGGGAAAAAAACGACAAAAATATTAACGACAACTACTACTTTATGAATTAAATCATTCTCGAGCCAGATATAGCAGCGTCATGACTAAAGTTTTTAACATACAACATTTGTAAAACATTTATCTAATACTACAACATACACAAACACACAAATCTAATGAATTTTTGAAACGAATGAATTATTTTTTAAGGAATTTTTGGTTTTAATAATTTTTTACTACTACCCACCTGGTCTGTATTGTCCTCCAATTGGCTGGCCTTTTGGTGGCGGCGGTGGAGGCACTTCAGGGTCTACACAGGGGTGTATGAGATAAATAATAATAATGAACTATGTATGTGTAATGCTTGTGAAAATGATATAAAAATTATAAAACTAAAATATTTTGCAAAGACGTATAGAATTTTAAATTAAGTTTGGAATTTTTGATGTACGACGGGTCACAGAAACAAGAGTTAGATTTTGTTATTCGATTTGATTTGAATTAAATAACTATAAAATACATACAAATTACATAATGATATTTTAAAATAAAAATATTTATTGACTAAAGTACAAATAATTTGTTTTTCAAACAATATTTTTGGATTTCATGCAATTACAATTAAGCACAATTATTATTCAAAACATTATTAACAAGTGCTTTTATTTGTTTTGTTTGAGTAATTAAAAATTACGCCCAATGTGTATACAACCAAGTCAACTTTTTTGTAAAATGTGTTTTATATATATAAAATTTGCTTTGAAATAAACATGTCTAGGCGTAATTATCCGTACAAAATAAAAAAATAAAAAAACCTAATTTTTTTTTAATTATTATTCTATTTCTTGAGTTTATTCATAAATTATTAATTATGCTCTTGTTTTTGTGATTTTTACATACAATATCTACAAAAATAATTCTTCCACGTACAATATTTTTTAAAATTATATAACTTTCTAAAAAGCTATTATAAAATTGTGTATTAAACTCTAATTAATAGTTAATTAAAATTTGGTGACTCAAGAAAAACAAACATCACGCTCTAAAATTTTAATTTAAAAAAAAATTTAATTATGCCAAAAAAATCCAAAAAAACAAAAAATAATTTTTCCACGTACAATATCTAAAAATAATGCTATTATAAAATTGTGTATAAAAGTCTAATTAGTAGTTAATTAAAATTAAATAACTCCAAAAAAAACATCACGCTCCAAACTTTTAATTTAAAAAAAAAATTAAATTGTGCAGAAAAAAATCCAAAAAAAAACAAAAAACTGAAGTTTAGTATCTAAAAATGACAAAAAATTGTGATAATGAATGTCTTTTATGAAATTGTAAGTTTGTTTTAATTTATATCGAAAATTATCAAGCCCAGAAAAAACACAACATTTGAGGTCTTGGGAGCAAAAAAATTCGAAAATTGCCATATTAAGGACCCTTATATATACATATATAAAAAATTCTACAGACATTTTCTGTCCAGTCTAAATAAAATAAATGTAACAAATCAGTAAAAATTGCATAATATTTAATTTTTTTGAAAAATTAGATATATTGGGTACTAAATTTCCCGAAATAAAATTATTAGACCTTTATTTTCAAAAAAAAAAAATCGAGTGGTACAAATTTTTTAGCACAAGTTTGGAAAATATTTGTGAAAAACGTATTTTAGTCATCAAGTTTCTGCTTAAAGTTTTAAATCAATCTTTTTTTTTCACTAAAAACACTATTTTCAAGTACTGCACGCACCATATGCGTGCGCAGCAGTAAACGCGTTACCTAAAAACCGATTTTTAACGTGCTAAAAATATATATTATTATTTTTACATTCGTTTTAAATTTAATTTTAAATCGATCATTTTATTTCAATAAAAACACTATTTTCTAGTGCCGCACGCACCATATGCGTGCGCGGTAGTGTACGCATTACCTAAAAACCGATTTTTAAGGTGTTAAAAATATACATTATTATTTTTAGATTCGTTTTAAATTTAATTTTAAATCGATCATTTTATTTCACTAAAAACGTGTTTTCAAGTGCGGCACGCACCATATGCGTCTTAAAATCAAAAATCCGATTTTTATCGTGCTAAAAAAATACATTATTATTTTTAGATTCGTTTTAAATTTCATTTTAAATCGATCATTTTTTTCACTAAAAACACTATTTCAAGTGCGGCACGCACCATATGCGTGTTAAAATCAAAAATCAGATTTTTATCGTGCTAAAAATATACATTATTATTTTTACATTCGTTTTGCACTTAATTTTAAATCGATCATTTTATTTCACTGAAAACACTGTTTTCAAGTGCGGCACGCACCATATGCGTGCTAAATAAAACCGATTTTTATCGTGCTAAAAATATACATTATTATTTTTACATCTATCACCTTTAAATGTAACAGTAGGTCTCACAGGCGAACACGACCAAGACCTCTTCTCCGGCACTTCAGGCTGATACCTGAACCTCGGCCTGTGAATACTAGGGTCAAAAACTTGTCCTTTAAATTTGTCGACCTGGGAAGAACTTTTAGACTTCAAAATTGAGCTTTTGGTACCATCAGTTTGCTTTCTGGTAGGCGATTCTGATTTTGGTCGCACTCGTTTTGTGTTTTTCAAAGGAACATCGATACCTTTGTCAGAGTTGTCTTCTTTTTTTGGGTATTTGTGAGCGTACCAGGACCCCATCAGATATGGCGAAATGTCTTTTAGTTCTCGTACGTCAGGTTCTGACGTGTATAGACGTCCCATCATGGACAGGTTTTGTACTTCGAAGTGTTCACGCAATTTGTCGACTTCACCGTATTTGCAACCGTATAGGGACGCTATGCGCTTTTTTTCGCCAAAAGAAGGTTGTGTGGTTTTTTGTTCGCGTTTTAGAGCAGCCATTTTACTGATGACGTTGATTCTGGGCATCAGCATTGCTTTGGGTTTTTAAAGGAATCTTGGGTATGGGTGAAATATTTCTTGGGCGCCCACGTAGGGTTTTGTTCTCAAACCTCCAAGTCAAATGCTGGACTTTGTCCTTGTTCACAAAATCTTTGGCTAAAATATTCCTGGTGATTTCTGGATCTGACCTTATACGTCTCAGAGGATACAAGTCCGAATCATCTTGTTCAAACTTGCGTTTTAATTTCCTCACCTCACCAGCACGTACTAGGCTCATGTAGGCTCTCCAATATTTTTCAGGATTTGGAGAAGGACTTCGACTCATGACCAGACTCTCCAAACTTGAACCAGAGTAACAAGGACAATCTACTTTATCTGTTTCCTCACCATTATATTTAGCAACAATTGTGTTTTTATCCTCATCCTGAGGGCTGTCTGGCGGTGTGGGGTCCCTAGGCACATGTATCACCGCGCCAGGAATTTTCTTGATCTTGGCTTTCTCAAAAAAATCAACTTTCGATTGTACACCATCAGAATTCTGGTCGCCCTTGAATATAACAGTATTGTTGGATGCATCAGAACTTGCACTTTCAGTTTCACTCATGCAAGTACTCCTGTGCTCCAAAATTGTAACATCAGTTTTTTTGACTTCTAATTTTTCTGGTAAAAGGTGAGCTAGGTCCTAAACCGGTATTAGCAGCTGCTACAGCTCCTAAAGTCTCCTTAGGCAAAACCAAGACAGCTTGGTTCCTCCTACTTGCAACTTTAGTCATAACCTCTTTGCTCAAATTTTGCGACAACCTGCGTTTTTCACTTTCTGATAAATATGTATCACTTTTTGATTTCAACACTGTGTTGATAGAACCTATGGAATCAGCTTTGTAACTATATTTTAAATCAGGCTTGGAAATTTGATTAGCTGACAGCAAGGAACTGGATCTCACAATCAAATTATTGGGCGTGCACTTGCTTTTAGGCGGTACATTTATCACAAAATCTTCCTTGACTGCATCTTTTTTGCCAGGGACGTTCGTGCTGTAGATTTCTGTCAGTTGGTTTTTTAATTTGTTGACTTGTTCTGAAGACAAACTGCTCCACAAACGACTGCTTAACTCGTAACCATGGAAACCAATGTTATCGTTCAAAGAAGTTTGCCCAGGATTACGTTTTTGTACCATGCTTGAAGCAAGATTGACTACAGAGTTACCACGCCATAAAGGTTTGTAGATGTCTTTTTTAATATTCAAGTCACGTCTGCGAGAGTTTTCTAAATCTGATTCTTCGTCTACAAGTTTTTTGAAGTGCTCCTTGAGATCCTCAACAGATTTTTCTTTGCTACGCAAACCTTTGTCCAATTCACTGTGCCATTTCAAGGACTGGCAGTCTTTGGGACGGAACAAAAAGTCTTTTTGTTTTGGTCAGTGTACAATTTTTTGTACAGCAACTTGAGTTCCAGTTCTGCTTTTCTTTAGCTCGTAAAGACTTCCAACGATCGTAGTCTATAACTTCTTCGTCACGTCTTCTGGGCCTGAGATCACTTGTAGAAGTTGCTCTTTCTAACTCACCAACACGTTCCAAATTTTCGTAAACCTGTTGAGCTCCTTAAATCTATCAGATCTGGATCCTTTATTAATCACATCGTGGATGTACTCGTTGTACAAATCATGATCAGATTTGGTAGTGTATCTATCAGCCTCACCAGCACTTCTGGCTCGACTTAATTTAGCAATCTTATCACAAATAGCGTTTCTCCTTGCACTGTGAATCCGTCTACAAGCTGGTGACCTCGACATGTTGACAGGTGAAATTGATCTAGATCGTGGAGAAACTGGCCTAGAAGTTTCAGTCAGCACAACTTTTGGTGGAGGTTCACTTGCACTACGAATCCTCATCATTTCGTTGATTTCAGGACTGCAAGGTCTATACGCCCTATCCCTGTCTTCAACAAAAAGCAGGCTATCAAATTTTTCCACTTGGTCTGAGACATAACTACCAGGCCAAGACATATCACGATATCTATACATCAAATCTCTGTCCCAAGTTTTGAATCTAGATTCAGAAACTGGTCGTCTGTGTGCCAGGTACGTACTTGAAATTTTGTTGGGAGTTTCAGATTTGTAAAAAGCGTTGTTGAACATTCTGGCTTTTTCCAAAACTGAAGTGCTTCTGTAACTACTAGCAAGGGATGGTGTCGGTGACAAGTCTCGCAGGAATAGATTTTGGAAAAAGTTGTCTGATTTACCGATGTGCTCTTCGGCGAAATCGTCCAGGGTGCCGAATTGTGCGTGCTCAAAACCATTGGTGAGGTAGTTCATCACGTCTTTGGGGTCAGAAAATTTGTAGTCATTTTGTGCAGATTTTTTGCTGAATTTGTCTTCGATCTTTTTGGGTTTGTTTATGATGATTTCTGTCGGCGGAGGCATTGGTTTGCAGATTGTTACAGGTTTGCAAATGCCTGTACTTTTAGTCTTCTTGGGAATTTGGTCGGTACTACACTTTGTAGACGACTTTTTAGCCAGGGAATTGCTACTGCCGTTGGTTTTATTAGATTTAACTTTACCTATTGACACTTTTGGAGTTGTAGCGCTTTTTGTCAACTTCGATGTATCTGCTGATGCCTTCAAAAGCTCCTTACCACGTGCTGAAATAGCAACAGTGACTTTCAACGATTTCTCGTCCTTGTGTTTACCATTTTTCACAGAAGAATACAAGGCGTTGGTGCTTTTAACAGAGTGCACCTTATTAGTTTTAGGTTTGCTCAGATCTTGTACCTTTTTGACGACTTTAGGAGCTGCCAAATCCGGGCTCCTAATTAATCGACCAGTAATGTCTTTGTAAGAGGCGTGCAGTTTCTTTTTTTCCTCAGGCTTTGGTTGAAAACTCCTGCCAAAGGCTACAGGACTCGGAGTGCTCCTTCTTGGAGACAAAGGTGAACGATTTACTGCACTTCTAGCCAAAGATCTCCTGGCTAAAATATCTGATGTCGATTTGCTTTGTCTCAAAGCCACAGTTTTTCTGGTGCTTTTTGGTGATAACTTACTAGGACTTTCAGGGTGTGGAAACACATGTGGTGCCTAGGACTAATACTTGGTTCTTTACCAGAGGAGGAGTAAAGTCTTAAAACAGTATTGGTTTTCGATGATTTCCTATCAGGAACTGTTGTGGATTCGATAGAGACCTTGTGGTCCTCCTAGATTGTCTCTCGTACTTTTCAAAAATTGCTTTTGGCGGTTCAGGAACTTTGGTGATTGGATAGCAATACACGATGCTGTTGTGGGTTCTTTTGGTTCTTCCGTGCACTTTTATCCTTGTTGGATAATTTTTTAGTTCTGTTTCAACAAATAATTGTTCAAGGTTTTAGATACTGCTAAAAATTTGTAAGAACCTGTCACCGTTTGGTGCACAAACACACTTGTGGGAGTAAATAAATTTTTTTTGACACTCTGTGCTTTTGGAATTTTTCACTCTGTGCTGGTAAAAGTGCCTAAAATTGTGACATAGGCAGTGATGATGGTAACAATTGGATAAAAATGTTAAAAATCAATTTAAAAAAATTGTACTACAGTTTTATCCAATTGGTCATCGTAAGAACTACTTAAACTTGTGATATAAAAATTTAGGGGCAATTCTGCCTTATATAAATGCATTGTCATGGCTATCTTATGCTTGTTTAGTAGTAGTGAAACTTTAAAAATGTCTATCTATATTTGATATGCAATTAGGCGTATTTTATATACAAAAGCAAGAAAGAACCTTATGAGAACCTTAAGATTCTGTTATCATAACATTATTCCTTGCTTGTTTATATGTAAAATACGCCTGATCGCACGGCAAATAGATACAATTTTACAGATTCACTAACAAGAAACAAACATAAGATAACAAAACTATCTAATGAGGCAGAATTGCCTTTGTAGCAAATTTTTTAGCAAAAATTAATAAATCAGCTAGATAGTTGCTTATAAAATATACTGGCGGCATCTACATATTCGACGTAGAAGTAAAAATTGTATAATATTAAAATTTAAAATTCACAGAAATTTTCTCTAGTGCTTGATATTTGATATAAATTAAAACAACCCAAAACTTTTTGTATGATTGTATGAAATGTAATAATAAAAATGATGAAGTGTGAATAATTAGATTTTATACAAGATTTGTTATAGAAAGAAGACCTAGGGACTGATTTTGTTGCAATGTTATGGCAAGACCATGTTTCATGTATCATGCTACTAAATCGTACTGAATACTGTCAAAATGTCATGTATTTGCTGTACATTCAGGCGTCTTTCACATAAACTGCATCGTCACTCGCATGTTATGAACCCGAGTCAGAAACACCCTGTTATCTAACATCGTTTTTTGACATGTGCGGTTTCTAGGTTAGATTATCTATCTGACAACCTGAGAAATACGCCTGACTGCATAGCAACGGCATGGTTTTTGTCAATATTCGGTATAAAAATAATAGCCTTGCTATAACATTGGTCTGTTATGCGGTCAATAAATTAAAAATTTTACATTTTTGTTGGTGAGACATGCAGTATAAAAAATTAGCACAAACCTTTTTTTGCTGTTAATCACCTTCGTCCACAGATTAGACCACAAGTTCCCAAACTTATGCAGTGATAGTTGATTAACGAAGACTTGTTAAAGGAAACAAACTATTTGTTTAGTAATTTCAAGATTAGAAATGTTTTTTAGAAAAAATCCTCTGAAGTCTTGGTTAAGCAAGTATCACTGCAGTTTGTTATAACATTTAACAAAATGTTAGTAATATATCAGTACGATAAAGTTAGCACAGCATAGTACATCCATAGATTTTTATAAAACTTCAGACAAAATTCGTGAACTCATAAAAAATGTATTACCTAAACTAAGAGAGCAACGCTATCTTATGCTTGTTTCTTGTTAGTGAAACTGTAAAAAAGTCTATTTCCCGTGCGATCAGGCGTATTTTACATATAAACAAAGCAAGGAAGAATCTTTTGATAACTGCATTGTCGAAGTGCATTTTTTTTTACATTTTCGACAATATCTTGGAAATTTTGTCTGGGACACTTTATTTTATATACATTAGTAAAAGAAGATGAAATTTACTAAAATTTAGTAAAAACTGTTATATATACTTGGTTATTGCAATTTTGTACAAGTCGCAGTTGAAATGCGGACTTTAGTATTTTAGCATCATCGAAGATTCTGTTATCATGAGATTCTTCCTTGCTTGTTTATATGTAAAATACGCCTGATCGCGCGGCAAACAGATTTACACAATTTCACTAAGAAAGGAGGATACGATAGCGTTGCCATGACAACGCTATTTTATGAGGCAGAATTGCCCTATAAAACGACATTCTGGCAATATTGACGTTTGAGATAAATTTAAATACCTAAAATTTAGGACGACCTTAGGCTTAGGACCTTAATTTAGGTTACAAAAACAGTTTAAGTTCTGTAAAACCTTGTATGGCTTCAGAGTTTAATAAATTCTTTCAATTTCAAGCTTGACGAATATATTCGTCATAGAGCAGGGACAGAATTTTATGTACTGACGCATATAGTCGTCATACAGTCAAAACCGTGACTAAAATAATAGATAAACAAGTATAAATAAATGGCAAACACGGCCGCTTTGATATTACATCAATTTTAATTCTTTCGGCATATCACAGATGTAGCCACCAACAGCGGCACGTAAATTTACCCTTTGGTTCAATTATAGGATAAGATTTATATAAATATACTCGCTGACCCGGTAAGCGTTGTTTTGCTAAGTAAGGTATATTCTAAACATTTCCTACATAATCAAAAATGATGAACAAAAGGACTCTACTGACGAACAAAATACTGCTAAAAACGTTTTGAGAGAAAAGGGACTCTACTGACGAGCAAATTAAAAATAATATAAAAAAAGTACTCTATTGGCGAGCAAATCAAAATATTAGGAAATGAGACTCTACTGACGAACAATTGAAATTATTAAAAAAGGGACTCTACTGACGAGCAAATGAAAATAATATGAAAAAAAGGACTCTACTGACGAGCAGATAAAAATATAAGAAAGAAGGGACTCTACTGACGAGCAATTAAAAATATTAAGAAAGAAGGGACTCTACTGACGAGCAAATGAAAATTTTAGGAAAGAAGGGACTCTACTGACGAGCAAATGAAAACATAAGGATAAAGGGACTCTACTGACGAGCAAATGAAAATTTTAGAAAAGGAGACTACTGAAAATATTAGGAGACAAGAAATTCTACTGACGAGCACATTAAAAATATTAGAAAAGAGAAGACTGTGATATGCTGAAAACACTCGTACAGGGTGAATTTTTGGACTAAACAAAACACATTTTGAAATGTCAAATTGTTTAGAATATTTTGAGGCTTAAGTAGTCGTCAGTGGCATTAAGTAGTCGTAAGTGGCATTTTGCCTTAAGGCAAGTTGCATGAACTTCACAAAAAACGTGTCAATAATATACTTGATCAATAAGAACGAAGATTTAGCTTATAAAAAAACACTTTCTACGGTTTTTGCTTTTTATCAAGATTTTCTTATTATTAATTATTCTTACTATTAATTATTCTCACTATTAATTATCTCACACCACTTCTACTCCAAAAACCAAACTACAAAAAAAACTATAAATTTTTTTTTCACTCACCTTTCGGGCGCTCAGGAGCAGGTTTTCGGAATCCTTGTATAGGAGCATCGCCTCCAGCTTGGAGGTTTCTATAGGCCTCCCGTTGCTGAGGAGGACTTAGAGGAGGAGCTGGTGATGACATTTCTCCATTTCGGCGTCTTAGTAATTGGGAATCGCTTTCGTAACCTTGTTCTTGCAAAGCCCTGAAAGGATAAAGAATATTTTTTTTGTTAATAATTTTATTTGAACATCGATCAGAACTTATAAGCTGTTGTAATTAATATCTTACAAACTACCCAAACCGTTGTCACATATCTGTATGATAAATTTTTATTACAATCTCTGTAAGAGGGCAAGTATGGTGCAACAATGCCGGGTGAGGGCTATTTTCACTTGGAAACATATTGCTATTTATATAAAGGATAAATGATAGTGAATAAAGAACTAGTTGTAAAAGGCATTTTGTTGTAACTTAAATAAGGTGTGAGACTTAATGGTTTTTGTTTCTTGCTACTACTCTCTTAAGATTGTGACCTATACTAAATTCCATACGAATATTGTATTTATTTAATATTTTTACAATTTTTTTCTGAGACTCAAAAATGATTTAGTAGTGTATGGCATCGTGCCTTAAGGCAAATTGCTCTAACTTCCCGTACCGTAATGAAATATTCGAGAAATTTTAAACGTTTTCAAATATATCATTACAAATACTGTAACTTCCAATATTATTGCTATCATGTTATATCTGAGCAAATCAAATATGAATCATAAATCAATTTATCTCCAGAACATTAACAATCGTCATTTCATTTCGAATTCAATTTCAAAAAAAAAGTTGCCTGATTTACACAAAATTAAAATCTTGCTCCCGTATAGTCACAGTCTAAACGCATTTGCAAATAATTCTGTGCGACATTTTCACTTATACTGTGCTTAGCTTGGCGGCATTTTCACATTTTTCAATAGTTTTCACAAAATTACTGGAAAAGTGCTCCAAAGTACACAAACAGTCTAAACGCACTTGGGTAATTTGTACCAGGGTGGCGCTTAGACTGTGCTTAGCCTGGGTAATTTTTTGAATTTACCAGTTGTAATCAAAAATTAAAAAAATATTTTATGGAAAATAGAAAAAGATTGAGAATCGCTTTCGTAACCTTGTTCTTGCAAAGCCCTGAAAGTGTAAAGGACAAATGATAGTAATTGAGCATTTAAATAGTTGTAAGTGGCATTTTGCGTTAAAACTAATAATAAGATTCAAGTATTCAAGTAAGATCTATAAAATATAAGAATGTGCCAAAGAAAAGATCTTTAGCAGAGCTGCATAAGCTACGTACCAATGAAAAGTTACATCAAAATCGGTCTAGGCGTTTAAGAAATTAGTCTAAACCAACAAGCAGGCAGACAAAAATGTTAAAAGATGTTAATTTATTCTTGTCAGGTATTTCTCAGATCCTATCAGATATTAATTGAAATTTTTGCATATCTTCACGTTTCAGAGGTTTCTGAACATTTTCGCATACCTTACAAAAAATTGATGCGTGTAGTATGTATGGATACAATTTTCTGACAACGATTTCAGGCGCACGGATAAACCGATTTGAATTATTCATTTACCATTCTATCCCTATTGATAGGGAGATGTGCTGATCAGTTTTTGGCAAAGGCAGGTCTAGCCGTTTCGGAGAGATGAAGCTAAATTTGCATAAAATGGCAGTTTTTGAGAGAACTAAGCATCCGAATTGAATTTTGCTGGTGTTGACGAAACAATGTGAACTGTTTCATAAAATGCTAAGAATTTTATATAAACAAGTATAAGTTGTTGTATATCGTTAGAAAGCTAATAAAATTCTTAATTTTTGTGCTTTTACCCTTTTTTTTATTTTGGAACAAAATTTGTTGCAAAATTGTTTTGAAATTTATAGTTGTTAATCGTCATCTTGATCAATGTAGATACTTTTAAAATGTGACGAATGTATTGTTTTTTTTATATTTAGATTTATTTTGTTGATAGTTTGTTATTAGAATATGTATAAACTATTTGGTATCATTAAAAAGACTATTACATTTTATAAAAATCTGCTTTTAACTTTTTGTAACTTTTAGAACAAAATTTTATGTAAGATTTGTTTTAGAATAATTTATAAACTAATTTATACTAAAACTTAAAATATGCACCAGTTTAAGAATAGACAAAGGGTGAATGAAGTTTCAAACATTTTATTTTTAAGTATTTTGCCTAAAAGTTTGTTTTAAAAGTTACAAATCGGAGTACACAGGTTTTCAGTAAATTTAATAAGAATTTTAACGATATATAACAGTTTATATGAAAAACTAAAATATGCTAAAACTGAAAAAAATGCACAAGTTCAAATATAATCAAGACTAAATGGCAAGATAGTGTTTCAAAAATGCAAGTTTTAAGTACATTTTACATAAAATTTTGTTCAAAAGTTACAAAACGTTAAAAGCAGATTTTTAGGAAACTTAATAGTCTTTTTACTGATATACAATAGTTTATATGTATTTGAATAAGTTATAAACAAATTAATGCTAAAACTGAAAAAATGCACGAGGTTAAGATCAGACAAGTCTTTTGGACAAAATTGTGCTTTAGAAGTTCAAGATTAAAATATATTTTGCATGACATTTTGTTCATACCTAATAATAATTGAAATAAACAGAATTTAACTAAATTCAGCAAGCTTTCTAATAATACACAATTAGTTACTTAGTTTTGAACAAATTATAGGTAACACAGCGCTAAGCTTAAAAAATGTATAAATTTGCGTTTTACAACTATGAGTTTGAAGTATATTTTTTGAAAAATTTTGTTCCAAAGTCTAAAAGACGGAATATTCACACGTTTAGTAAATTTAATAAGCTATTTAATGATATATAATAATTTATATGTGTTGGCAAGATAATGGCAAGATGGTGTTTTAAGAATGCAAGTTTTAAGTACATTTCACACAAAACTTTGTTCTAAAACTTACAAAACGTTAAATGCAGATTTTTAGAAAATTTGGTAAAAATTGATAGTTGCAAGCGGTACTGCCCAAAAATTTTATTTTACAAAATCCAATAAAATTGCTCACCATATTAAAAACAAAATTTGACATGTGTCATTTTTCTAACATAAAACTTACAAAAAAAATACGTTTTTAATAAAATTCAAAATGTAAACACCAATAACTTATTCCAAATCTCCTGTTCACAAAATATGATAAAATAAACTAGACACCCAGAAAACTATTTCCACCAAAAACCTTGAAAATGAATATTTAATCCAAAATGAGAAACTTCTACCACTTCGTACAAAACATGAAATCCTTTTTCCCTGGAGGATACATTTGGTCATTTGCGCCAAATAGCGACCGAAACCAGATGGAAAAAGTTTTCACCAAAGGCATAAATTATGAATTCAACGAGGACGAAATCAGAGTTTTGATGGAATGTGACTACGAGAGCTTCTATTTTCGAAGTCTACCCTTATCCACGATGCTTAGTTTCCTAACCTACAAAGCCGTGAGAAATGGGTACCTAAAACCTAACAAAATCTGGGGACCTACACCCAAGTTTTGGTAGCCATCACCGTAGGCTATTTTGTAGGCAAATACTCTTATCTCAATACTTGTATCGAAAAATTGATGGATCTGCCTGATAGTGAATTGGGGTTTATGCTGAGACAGAGCCGAAGGGCTAAGGAGGATGCAGCATCTGGTACTAATAATAATAAGGATAATAAAAGGACTTCACATCTGGGAGAGTCTTTGGATTTGGAGAAGGACCGGCCAGAGTTGAAAGGTTTGGATGAGAAGTTTAAGGAGAATATTAAGAAAACTGGGTTTGAAGATTGTACTGGTAATAAGGAAGCTTGTACGAATGAGGAAGAACTTGGTAAGCCTACTTCTGTGTAATGATCAAAGTTTGGCTCCAAATCTAAAGACGAAGGAGTTTTATGCTGAAACAGAGCATAACCAGCTGTTGATAAATTATTATTATAAAGACAATAGAAGGACTTCACATTTGGGAGAGTTTTTGGATTTGGGGAAGGACATGTGGGAATTGACAGGTTTGGATGAGAAATTTAAGGAGAATATAAAGAAAACTGGTTTCAAAGATTGCACAGGTGTTAACCTGCTTTAGTGTAAATGCAACCAATAGAAGGCTCCCAAATGGATTATATGCTGAAACAGAGACAAAAAGCTGAGAAATCTGCATCACCTGGTACTAATAATACCTACTTCTCAAAGTCTAGATGGAAAATTTAAAGATAACTTTAAATTTTAACTTTAAAACGTTTTTGAAGACTGTACTGTTAACTAAGCTATTTGTAAGAATAAAGAAGAGCACACTACTTCAATGTAATTTTGTAGATTTGGGTACAAATATAAAGATTCTCTTGAAATTTTTTTTGTTGAAACAGAGAAGAACTAAGAAATAAGCAGCAGCTGGTATCAATAATATTGAAGACAACAAGAGAACTTTTATTTGGGAGGAGAAGTGCTGAGAAATATGCACCAGTGTGCAATATGACTGTTCATTTTCGAGGATATTTAGATTTGGACCTAAAGAAAAGGCAGTAGCTGATACCAGTAATAGTAAATATAATGAAAGTGCTTCCTATTTAGAAGAGTCTTTAGATTTGGACCTGAGAAAAACTTAGCAGCTAGTACCAATAATAACAAAAACAACAAAAGGACTTCCCAGTTGAAAATATCTATAGAGTTCGAGCTAAAAAAACTCACCAGCTGGCACTAATAATAGCAAAGACAACAAAAGGACTTTCCATCTAGGAGAATCTTTAGATTTAGACCTATGGAAGTTCTAGCAACTAGTACCAATAATTATAAAAACAATAAAAGGACTTTCCAGTTGAAAAAATCTTTAGAGTTCGAGCTAAACCAGCTGGTACTAATAATAACAAAGACAATAAAAGGACTTCCCATCTGAGGAAGACTAAGAAAGTTGAAGTATCAATAATAGTGGAAAGAATGTAAGAGCTGTCCATTTTAGAGAATATTTAGATTTAGACCTAAGAAAGACCTAGCAGCTGGTACTTATTGTAGTAAAGACATAAAAAGACTTTCCCTTCTGACAGAATCTTTAGGAACTGAAGAAGTCGAAGCAGCTGGCTTCAGTAATGTAAGGGCTTCCAATTTTTGGATCTAAAATATTTTTCAGTTTTTAATCTAGCAGC